TGTCCTCCTGTGGCCAGACCCCCATCCTGACAGCCCAGCTCTCTTGCCAAACTGTGCTGGGCAACAAACTCCTGAGACAGCCCACTTGTCTAGGAAGCCCGTGTCCCCCTGAGCCTCAGATGGGCCCTCCTCAGTCCTGAGCAGAGGGATTGAGCAACCAGGGCAGGACCACCCAGCTGGGCATCAGGGAAGGCTCCAGTTACCCTCCCAGCCAGCTGAAACCAGAGGTGTAGGAGGCCTCCATGTCCCGACAGCTGATGAGATTTTACTAATGTTTCCTGTGCAGATTTCAAAAAAGAAGAAGGAAGAAGGAAGAAGGAAGAAGGAAGAAGGAAGAAGGAAGAAGAAGAAGAAGAAGAAGAAGAAGAAGAAGAAGAAGAAGAAGAAGAAAGCAGACCTGGAAGAAGAAGAAAGCAGGCCTGGGCCTTGCCCTTAGACAGGTCAAGTATGTGGGGCCTGATCATCACCAAACAAATCATAATCAGGGCTAAAGGTGGGTTCTGTACACCCACACTGGGAAGGCCAGGCCAGGCTCCCAGAGGAGGTGGCCAGTGGCAGATGGGCAGGTTTTCCTGAGCCAAGAGGTGGAGAGCAAGCCCAACTCATAGAATAAGAACTGCAGGGGTTAGAAGGAGGTCAGGAGGTCAGACGCCAATGGTGGCAGGGCCCTGGCTCTGAGCATGACTGCAGCAGAAGTGAAGGGATGGCAATGGCTCTTTCCTTTCCTTCCTCAGTTGCTGCTACTGCAGCTTTGTCAGGGCCTGTGTGTTTCCCATGGCACCAAGGAAATGGGGGAGGTGAGCATCTTTTCTTCCTTATCATCTCTGTTGGTAGCATAAAGCCTGACACCAAAAAGGTACCTCCAGTTCAGCACAGTGGTAAGAACGCAGGCTTTGCATTTAGACAGATCTGGGTTTGAATCCTGACTTCTTGATTCGACTGGCTGTGTGACCTCAGGCAAGTCGCCAAACTAATTAAGCTTCAGTTTTCCAACCTATAAAATGGGAATGATGGTGCCTGCCTTCGTAATACTGGTGTGACAATTAAATTAATTAACATAAAGTGCTTGCTGACCCCTGGCTAAAATGAAAGAAGGACCACAGCACTTAGCAGTCCCTGGTGGAAGCTAAAGCCCCATCAACAGCCAGTTCTACGTACATGCAGCCCTTCCTCACCCACAACCAGCTCCAACACCGCCCTGTTCACACGGCCAAATCCACTCCCCGGGGTGGAGAGTGTCTCTCCCCTGCTTGAGGGGCCATGCTAACAGCCCCAGCCCCCTTCACTCCCAGAGCTGCAGCGCCTGATCGCTGAGCCCTCTCTCTCCGTCAGTCCTGGGCTGTGCCTCTGAGCTCTGTGGGGGCTGAGCACTGTGCCTGTCATCTTTACTAATATATTTCTAGTACTTATCACAGTTCCTGACACATAGTAGGTACAAGGTAAACATTCGCTGACCGGGTCCCAACTCCATTCCCACAGCCACTGCCAGCACTGAATTAAGCATCACCTCCACGTACCCCACTGTACCTCCCCTTCTGCAGTCTCTCCCCACTACTCTTCCACGCACTCTCTCTGGCCGTTCTGACTGCAGCCCAACTCTGACCAGGTCACTCGTCGGCCCGAACATTCCCACACTCCCCCTCACACAGCTCAGCCACCCCATCCATGCCAACACCCCCCGCCGCTTCTGCAGCTGGACCTCCCTGCCCTCTCATCAGCCTGCCCCTCCAGCCTGCCTGATCCCTGCCCTCTCAGCACCTCTGCCACCCACCGCTCAGCAGGAGTCCCTGCCAGGCAGGCCCCACAGGCTCCCCCTGCCACACATACCTTAGAAAGAGGCTCAGGATCATTGGTGAAACTAGTGTCATCGGTGATTTGCACACTGAGCCACTGCCACCTCCATGGCATTGTGGGAGAACGAAGCAGATCCTGGAGATGGCTAAGCCGTGGGATCGGTAGAACCCTTGCCCAGCATAACCAATGCTGCCTCACCCCCAGCCCCCAATATACATACCACTCCCCACTCCGGGCTGGCAGCTCCTCACACAGTTAATTAGCACCATGTCACTGAGGACCAGCCTGAGTGGCCAGTGACAGGAGCTGACCCCTGACCCCAGGGCTGGGAAATAGTCCACATCAAACTCTTCCAGCACGACCCTTTTAGCACGCACAGTAACTCGGGGCACTGGCAGCTGAAGCTCATTAAAGCTGTCTCTTTGGCGCGAGGGCCATTAACCTCACTGCTCAAAACCCACACCTCCCATCCCCGCCTCTCCCAGCCCAATTAATGCCCTGCATCCTCCCTCCCTTCCCAGCACCCTCGCCCGCACCTCAGAGCCAGCCAGGAGCTGGCAGGGCAGCCCTCTTCATTCAAAAATACAAAGACCAAACTCCAGGAACCACCAGTGTCCTTGAGTAACCACTGTGTGCCAGGCACTGCACAAGCCCTTCACACAGCTGACATCACCAAACTGTCCCAACAGCTCCGAAAGACAGTGGCACCGTCCCTCGTCTAAGGTTATGGGGCTCTGGGTCGTAGAACCAGAACTTCTGGCTCCAAAGCCCTCACTCTGTTGTCACTCAGCCTTCAGCTGTCCCTTGGGCCCACTCAGATGGAAAAACTTTCTTCTATGGAGAAGGAAGGAACACTTCAGAGGTCCTAACCCAGAATCAATGTGGGTGAAGAGACAAGAGAGGCACCACTGAGGCCCAGGAGGCAGGAAAGAGTAGAGACAAGGAACCCCTTCCTCTCAGAAACACCCAGGACAGATACACAAAAGCAGGGCACCCAGCTCGAGGCTGTGCAGGGTGAGTTAACCCAGGCCCACTGGTTCTGCCCACTGGCCAGACTCAATTACAGGCAATTCCTCCTCCCCTGGGCCAGTGCTAGTCCTCTCACTGGTCCTCATTCTCTGGTCCCTCCCTTCCCCGTCACATTCATTGACTCATCCACTCATTTGTTCTTTCATTCACCTATCTGATTGACTTTATTGAGCACTTGTTAAGAACTAGTTTGTGCAGCACGAAGTGCCTCAGTGACTCTGAACCAGAGCTCCCATCACGCCGTTCTCTCACTCACAAACTCCCTGTCTCATCGACACCCCAGGAGAAGGAAGCTGAGGGTAACAGGTGCATGAATGGTGATGGAAGGAGACTTGCCCTGGGGGGTGAATGCACAATATAACACACAGATGGTGTATGACAGAACTGTACACCTGAAACCTATATAATTTTATTAACCAATGTCACCCCAATAAAGTCAATGAAAAAGAAAAAAAGCCTCAAAAGATATTCACCCCCACACCCTAACCTGGCATTCAAGGCCCCCTTGCTTCCCTGCTGATTTGCTAGCCATTCCCTAACTGGAAGACCCCACTCCAGTCACCGGAAACTATCTGTAGATGTCTGGACGTGTCTTCTCAATACACTAGGCTTCCTCATGCCCTCAGGCTTTATACGCACACTTCCCCCTAAAAAGAAAACCCTTCCTGATTTCTTTTGCCTAGCAAACTCCTAGTCACCCTTCAAGGATCCCCTGCCTCGTGTCCTCTTCTCTAGGAAACATCCTGCCAGCCTCCCAGGCATATCACCTTGCTAGGTTTGGGGTCCCCTCTAGATTGTAGAGGACAGCAGCTGCGAGGCAACAGCAGTTGCTGTGGGGTACTCCCAAATTCCTCAGGCCCATCGGCTGCTTCTTCTCCCCCGACCAACAAGAATGATACAGGACGTCCAAGAAGTCCGTGAGATGTAAAGGGAGGAGTAGAAGCCACCTTGGCAACTGAGAACACAGAGACCTCCCTAGGGCAGCCCCGTTGTTTCTTACTGCCCCGGGTGTTAAATACCCAGTTCAGTCTCTGTCTTCTCCCAGGAGGTGAGCTCCCTGAGCACAGGAGCTTCTGCTCAGAATGCCCAGCACCCACCAGGTGTCTGTGGAAAGGATGAGGGGCTCTGCCTATAGCCGGCAACTGGACTCTTCCAGTGTATCTTGCTATTCCCCTCCCCTCAACCTCTGATACCTCCCCAAGGGTACATGAGTTATGATTTCGTCACACTGCCGCCCAGAAATACCCTTGTTTCTCCCCACTTGGAACAAAACCTATGCTTGCTTGAAAGCTTGAGAGCATTTGCATGCACGTGCTTGCACACACACACACACACACTAAATAAGATAGAATGACAGACATTCTTTCTGATGGGTACACACACAGGATGACAGTTGCTTCCATACATAGACATGTGCCCTCATAAAAATATACACAGATATATTGTCACACACCCCCGCATCCCTTAGATACACACATCACATGGACACATATGCACCCTCAGACTGCAGCTGATGTTGTCAGCTACACACACGCAAACTCACAGACGGACACATGTCCATCCTGACAGATCAGAGGCTAGCAGAGCCTCCAGTGCCTAGAACCACGGCCACTCTAGCCCCCTCCCAAGCAGTAATCCCCCTGAGGGTACACCCCCACCTGGTACCCCAAGTGGCCCCCTCCCAACCCAGGCACCGCTCAATGGACGCTGCTGCTCCTGCGGGGGAGTCAATACCCTGTGGACGGAGCCATCGGTCAGAAGGACCCCGACTAATTAAAAGCTGGTGAGGTTTAAATAATTCATCTCCTTAACTCCCATTGATCGCCCAGTTTAGTGGCCACAGACTTGAAACAATATTAAACAGTCTCCTCCAGCTCCACGGGGGGTAGGTAAGCTGACATATGCCCACCCCTCTGAGGACACCACCCACCAGGGATGCAGCTGGGGGCAGGGGTACCTTGGCTTGAACCCAAGGCCCAGAACCCAGCCTCCTCCTAAATATTGTTTTGAGAGTCCCTTTCCAATGGTTTGGTTTCACTCTCCCCTCACTCCACCCCCTTTCTCTGCTCTCCCCAGCTTTGGAGAGCACCCTGATAAAGTGCCGAAAGAGCCACAGAACCCCTCTGTGTACCAGGGGACTGGGGCATGCGGGCAGGGGGACATGTGGAGGGACTGACCAATGCCGCTGTGGGGCCGGCCTATGTGTTGCAGGCTGAGGCCCTTGTTCATGTCTAGAAGTCCATTCTTGGGCCAGCAGCCCATGGCGAAGCTGTAAGCCTGGAAGACAGGAGGCAAGAATGGTTAACAGAGGCCCTGACCCCTAAACCAACCCCATCACTCACCTTCCCCCCCAACCAAATCTTCCCCCCAAGGGCTTACCCTCATCACATCATTTTATGAAAGTCCCTTCACTGGGTCCCCTTCCCATCAGAAAACCCCTTCCTCCTCCAGAGCTTTCTCCTGGGTATCTCCCCATCAGAGGCCCCTGGCCCTCCCTAGATGCCACCCCACCCAGAGAGCTCCCGTTTACTGAGAGCCTCCTTGTGAGGATCCCTCTTCTCACCAGGTATCCATCCCCTTTACCCTTAGATTCCCTCCTCTCCAGAGTCCACAGCACTCTGCTGGACCCCCCCTCCCCACAGTGTCACTGGTCACAGAGACTGGTGTCAGAAAGGACTTGCAGACCAATGTATTCAAACGTCACAGACAGGAAAACCAGAGTGAGAGGGGGCCAACCACCTGCCCATGGTCGTTTCTTCTGAACCAGAGACAGGCGAGCTGTAGAAGGCTGAGTGCCATGGAAGGGCTCATGTGAGAGGGGTAAGGTCACCTGGTTGATTCAAGCAGCTGTGAGGGGAACACATGAAGGGTGTGTGTGTGTGTGTGTGTGTGTGTTAGGGGAAGCAGATCTCTGCTGAAGGTCAAGTGCTCACTTATGCATATTCAAAGCGGCTACCCATCGATCTGTACTTAATTGTTTTCCTGGGGTTGGGGAAGGAAGTGCTGGGGGCATCGATCTGCTCAGACCCCCAGCACTTCACTGCCCCCTCCATCCCCTACTCGTGTCACCTGGCTGCAGCCCACCTCCAGGGGAGGTTGGGGGGTAGGGTACATGGCAGAACAGGGATAGCACCCTCCCTTACAGTCCCTTACAGGCGTTATGACTTGATGTCACAGGTGAGGAAACTGAGATCCAGAAACAAGAAACACACAAGGGTTGGAACACCATTAAGTGGCCCAGCGGGAATTCAATTCCTGCTCAGCCCGTTTGCAAAGTCCTGGGCTTCTCTTCCTACCAGTGGGCTCACACAGCTAGCTGACACTTCAAACACTACCCATCCCCTCACCTTAGAAGTCCCCAGATATCATGCTGCTCTTCTCCCAATGGCAGGAAGCATGTGGGACAGCGGTCAACAGGAGTGAAGGTTGGGTGAGTCCACAGAAGTTAGGTGGCAAGCCTGCTGGCAACACTAAAGTGACTGCAGCCATGGTGGCACAGGCACTGAAGTGCCCCCGCCCATCATGGGGCCCAGGAGGTCCCCATCTCACTGCAGACTCTTTCACGAGGGAGAGCGCTCAGCACAGGACCAGAAACAAAAGACGGGAGTCTGTGCCAGGGCCAAGGAGCTGGGCAGGGAGCTAGCACCCTTCATTCCCAGCTTCAGGAACCCAGCCTCAGCCCCACAGGTGCTGAAAGGTGAGGAGCCAGTGTACCTCACCCTCAGCACCCTCCAATGCTGTTTTCCTTGACCACAGAGGTACTAGCCACAACCCAACTTCCCAGCCAACCCCCTCAACCCCTCCCCAGATCCCGGCCCCAGGTCCCAGCTGCAACTACCAATTGGGAGCTGAGTGTGGGACTCAAGGACAGGGGAGAGGTCACTGGCCAAGGCAGAGCTGGGGGAACACAGACAGGGAGGGAAAGCAGCCAGTGGGTGGTGCACAGCTGGAGAAGCTGCTAAGCATGGTCAGGGCCACGGCTGGAGTGCAGTGGGCCAGAGAGCAGCGGCGGGCCGGCTTTCAAGTACTTTAAAATCACTTACAAAGGCCGGATTAAACGATCAGAAATTCCATTTAATAGGACAAATAAAGAAATAACAATCTACTCTATCAGCCTGGAGAAGGCGAGCAGGATGGGGTTTTTTTCCCCTCTAAAAAGGAAAAAGGGAAGGAAGGGGAAAAAAGAAGGATAATGTGTGTTTACTCAAGCAAAGAAAAAAATATTTAAGTGATGTCGGGGAGAAGATTGCAGTAACTAGTGAAGAATAACATCGTCTACTTTGCTGTCAAATCACACCCGAATTTCAGTAATAGATTCTCGGCTGACACTCAATTCAATTCGAAGGTGATCCTGCTTTATCCCAGCCCATCAAATATTAAACACTTGCATTAGCAGGTGCTGCCGCTTCCCGGCTTAAAGCAGCAGGCGGCAGGGCTGCTGAGGCCCCCTGCTCTGCTCTCGGCTCGGGGACAGGGCAGCTCAGCGTTATCTGCACGTCATCCCGAGTCTTATCGCAGCTAAGCGGGAAGACCACTTCAGATAACATTAGACGCTTGCCCCAACGCGTGTCAGCATGATTAGATTATTATTATAATAATGACTCCCCAAGAACTTCCCCAGACTGGGACGTGTGAATGGGGGCAGGGGGGTGGAGGACAGCAGGGCCCAGGAGGACCAGGCCGGACAGAGGAGAGCCAGGACCTGAGGTGAAAAAGCAGGGGCACCAAGCAAGGCGGCAGCCCTGGTCCCGCCTGACGAATGCCTTTCAGGAAGGGCAGTCTAGCTTGTCAGAGCCAAGGCGAGATGAATTGGCGTCTTCACTGTGGCCACGGGTGTCGGGCCACACAGTTTCATATTCCTAGATAAGGCGTGATAACCAATTGCGGCCATGACATGGCCCCATCCAGCACTTCCTGGGGGGCGGGGGGGGGGCGCGTGGGTAGGGGGAGGGGCAACACAGGCACATGGGTCTGCCAAGCTCCTAATAAGAGGGATTTAATTTTTACAAATGCTGCTTCCAGCGGGACCTTCACATACCAGCCAAAGTCCAAAATGATATTAAAAATGGTTAATTAAAACTGCTCTCCTTCAGCCTGGGCTCTTTCCCTACTAACCCTGCTGAGAACCCAGGAATGTCTCCTCCAGGTACGGCCACACATGAGTACCAGTCTCACGGAGCCCTCCAGGCACAGTACAGCAGACCAGCACCTCAAGCTCCCCCTGCCACCTTGAGTGCCCCCCAGGCACAGCCAGCGGACAGAGAGCCACCCAGAGAATAGAGTCCTACAGCAACCTGTGCTCCTACTAACGTGTGGTCTGGATCCTTTCACCTGCTGCCCTCTGTACCTGCACCCACATGCCCACCCCCCCAGCACTCATCTCTAAAGCTCCTGCTCTCCCCCCAGATAAATACACCATCAGGCATGCATACCCACACAGTGTGCCCCTCCTCCCATTCTCCACTCCCTCCCAACATCCTCCCTAAGGCATTACATCCATCCAGGATTCTTAGCAGAGCCTTCCTGGGAGTACGGCTCAAGGCGAGATGATGTGGGCTCTCTCTCAGCTTCTGGCCAAGTCAAGTCTGGGACCCAGGGAACCATCAGAGCATGAGGAGTCAGGGAGGCTGTCCCCTGTAGGCTACCATGGGGACAGTGGAGACAGATGGGCCCATGCTGGACTGGAGGTGGTTAGGAAAGCTTCCTGGAGGGCACCAGGTAGAAAACATGGCAAGGGCAAAGGAGAAGGGCAGGAGCAAGCTTGGGGAGTGCACAGGCAGGAGCTCGGGCATTGCTGGGGCAGCCAACACGGACAGGAGTCAAATCTTGAAGTGCTGCCTCCCAGCTCTGTGCAAACTGGCATTGATTGAGGTGCCCCTTTCCCCCACTTGCTTCCTATCCCCACTCTCCTTCTCTCCCTCCTGCCAACCTATGGGGTGTCAGGGTAAGGGACTCAGAAGCTTTCTGACTTTGATCAGTGTGGGGCAGGGATGCTTTAAGGCCTCTCGCCAAGACCCGTGCCTGAGCCTCTTTTCCATGCTGGTTCCAAAATCTCCGAGTGCCACTGTGCCAGCTGCACTTCTCCCAGCCATCGGGGCCCACCTGACAGGTTCCTGACCAGAAGGCCGGCAGGTGGAAGGATGTCTCGGCGGGGGGGGGGGGCTCAAACCCTACCCGGGCCAGTGGAATTGGGGTGAGAGATGCTGGTCTACCAAACTGCGCCATCCCAGCCCTATGCCAGGCAGGCACGCACACTTCCCTTCCCCTGAGCTGCTGCAATTTCCATGCGTAGGGAAGCAGGTGCCGAGCTGCTCCCGGCTGGCTCTCCCCTCTCGTGGCTCTGCCCGCCTTGGCTGCTGCCCCATTAGCTTAGTGGCCAGCCATCTGCGACGGGCCTGCCACGCAGCCCTGCTGTAGGCGCGGCGGGTGGCCCCCTGTGTAACAGGGAGCTTTGCCATTAGCGCCTTTAATATTCTGACACCTCAGCACAGCCTGCTATTACATGCAAACGCTGATCGCCCTGTGAAATTACATTGCTGGGCCCGCGAAATGGAATCGTGTATAATCAGCCTCCTCCATGCACTGTCAGTCCCATCACAAACACGGCGCCCGGCGGCTTACGGGGGCTTAGCAGCTGCGACAAGTGTATTGGGTTTAATAGATGAAGTAGCCCTCATCGGCGGCACCATCAGATTCTTCAAAGAGGAAAGAAGAGGCATTGACAGCTGCTGGGGTATCTCTGCCCACCTACTCACTACCTGGCCAAGCACTGAGCGTGGCGTGCATACACAGTGGGCAGGGCAGTGGCTGGAGCTAGAGCCCCCCTCAGACTGCAGAGAGAAGCACAGACTGTCCTGCGACTTCCAGAAACCCAGAGCTCCCAGGCCAAAAGCAGCACATCCGACCTACCCAGCCTCTCCACAAGTTGGGGAGGAACAGATCTTTACCCAGAGCCCTGGGGACTGGCACCCTCTGGGCCATTTCCCAAGCTGACCAAATCAAACCACTGCTATTCCCATAAACACCTAACAGACAGAGCAGTAGATGGGGCGCTCTGGAGGACAGGGGAGAGCATCTAACTGACATACCCATCACCTAACCTCCCTATCTAACTGGCGAACTCTTCCGTAGCTGATGAACCAAGTACCTCGGCCACAAGTCAACACGAGGAGGGCCCGCCCAGGAGCCTGGTCCTACAGAAGGGCAGTGCCTGCGGGCTCAGGAGTCAGACAAATCATGAACTGGTTCCCAGTGCTGCCAGTCATCGGCACTGTAAC